TTCCCCGAAGACTTTCCAAACCGATTCGGGGAACACATGGTCCGATAGCTTGGCAGGTCTGGCCGCAACGTTCGGCCACATAGGCGCTTCCAAAAAGGCAGGGGGCGGCGGTGGTTCGCCGTAAGCGTCTTCGATACCTATGTATCGGTTTCACTGTGTATCGATGGACGGGACAAACACGTGTATCTACGCGACAAACACGGGAGAAAAACGAATCAACGACCCGTTAACCACAGGACAACCGCGGGACAATCGCGGGAGAACCGTGGCACAACCCACGGGACAACCGTGGGACAATCACGCGACAACTATGCGACGATCTATTTCACAACGACTTTATAATAGAACCATGACGCTTGTTCCGCGCGCTAATGCTCTATCTGCGCTGGAGTCAAACGTTCTACGGGGTAGAGGGGCCGTGCCGGAAAGGGGGCTGTGGGTTTGGAAGCCAACGCGTTCGCCGAAGGCGCCAACATGTGCTCGGGTTGGGGCGACGGGTGCAGAACTACATAGAAAAAGACACGCGTGTGCGAATCCCACCAGCCCTTTAGGGTGCGAGTGGTTTAGAAAGCCTCCTTTTCTAGCCCGGTTCTTCCCCTTCGAGGAGTGGTTGACCACTGTTCACTATTTATATACACCCCCTCCTTCACCCGGCCGACACCCAATCCAGAATAATGCCGACCCCATGAGCTAAATTAGCCTGGCGCAAGACCCAACCATATACAGTTGTGAATACCGCAGTTGTGGATAACGTCTTCCATGGAACTCCCTGAGGGCCACGAAACGCTGTACTGGGCGGGGGAAGCGCGTGCGAGATTTGCCACTGGGGCCTTCGGCGGAATTCCCGATATGCCACGTAGCGCCGTGCTGGGTGGGAAGGGCGCGCGTGAACGAGTCAATTGGGGCCTTCGGTGGAGCTCCCTATGGGGCTACCAAGCGCTGTTTTGGGTGGTGGAGACGCATGTGAGCGGTTCCACTGGGGCCTTCGGTGGCATTCCCTATGGGGCCATCAAGCGCCGTGCCGAGTGGGGGAAACGCACGTGGACACCGCTGCTGTGGCATTCGGTGGCGCTCCCTATGGGGCCACGAAGCGCCGTGCTGGGTGGGGGAGGCGCGCGCGGACACCGCCACTGGGGCCTTTGGTGGAACCCGATCTGCGGCTACGGGTGGGGGAGATGCACGTGGACACCGCCACTTGGGCCTTCTTAGGTGAGCCTCCCTACGGGGCCACGAAGCGTCGTGCTGGGTGGGGGAGGCGCATGTGGACACCGCCACCTGGGCCTTCGGTGGAGCTCCCTACGGGGCCACGAAACGCTATGCTGGGTGGGGGACACGCGTGCGGACACCGGCACGGGTGCTTTCGGTGGAACTTCCTATGGGGCCGCGAAGCGCGGCGCTGGGTGGGGGGCCGCACGTGGACACCGATGCGGTGGCCTTCGGTGGAGCTCTCTAAGGGGCCACGAAACGCCGTGCGGGGCTGGGGGGACGCACGTGGACACCGCCACTGGGGCCTGGGGTGGGCCCGATGTGGGGCCAGGCAACGCTGCGCTGGGTGGGGGACACGCGTGCGGACTCCGCCGCAAGGGCCTTCGGTGGAACTTCCTATGGGGCTGCGAAGCGCGGCGCTGGGTGGGGGGGGCCGCACGTGGACACCGATGCGGTGGCCTTCGGTGGAGCTCTCTAAGGGGCCACGAAACGCCGTGCGGGGTTGGGGGGACGCACGTGGACACCGCCACTGGGGCCTGGGGTGGACCCGATGTGGGGCCAGGCAACGCTGCGCTGGGTGGGGGAGGCGCATGCGGACACCGCCGCAAAGGCCTTCGGTGGAGCGCCCTATGGGGCCACGAAGCGCTGCACTGGGTGGGGGAAACGCATGCGGACACCGCCACGGGTGCTGCCGGTGGGGCTTCCCATGGGGCCGCGAAGCGATGCGCTGGGTGGGGGAGACGCACGTGGACACCGCCGCTGTGGCCTTCGGTGGAGCTCCCTATGGGGCCACGAAGCGCTGTGCTGGGTGGGGGGGGGCGCATGTGGACACCGCCACTGAGGCCTGGGGTGGGTCCCCATATGGGGCCACGCAGCGCTGCGCTGGGTGGTGGAGGCGCACGTGGACACCGCCACTGTGGCCTTGATGCGCATGTGAGCACCGTCGCTGGGGCCTTCGGTGGAGCGCCCTATGAGGGCACGACACGCTGCGCTGGGTGGGGGCGGAGGGGGGCACATGTGGACTCCGCAACTTAGGCCTTCGGTGGAGCTCCCCATGTGGCCACGAATCGCCATGCAAGGTAGAGGAAACGCATGTGGACACCGCCACATGGGCATTCGGTGGAACTCTCAATGGGGCCATGGAACGCTGTTTTGGGTGGGGGGGGGGGACGCACGTGGACACCTCGACTGGGGCTGTCCTCTCTATGGTACCACGAAGCGCTGTGCTGGGTGTGCTGAATTGTTGCCCGTGGTGATGGCGATGGCGAGGATGGTTGTTGTAATGCAGCTGATGGCGATGATGGCGATGCTGATGATAATGGCGATGATGGTGATGATGGCGTCGATGCTGCTGCTAATGACGATGGCGGCGGTTATGACGATGATGACGGCGATGGTGATGCTGATGATGATACCGACGGTGCTGATGATGATGCTGGTGATAATGATATTGCTGCTGAAGGTGATGATGCTACTGGTTCTGATGATGACGACGACGAGGACATGCGGAGGGCAGGGGCAGGGATGGGAGGAGGGAGGAGGGGGAGGAGGAGAGGAAGAGGAAGAGAAGGATAACGAGGGTTCAACACTACAGATTGGCAAACAAAAAAAAACAAAAAAAAACACTCGGCCTTCACATGTTGAGAATGTGCGGCCGCCCCGCGACCACTTTTTATTGGTATTCTACAGGGGCGGCCGGGGTGCCAACAAATCCCACATGCCTTCTGGGCGCAAGTGGTCGACCGCGACCGCTTTGACATATCAGCTGCTGCTGCCTTCTCGCCTTTTCATGTCAGATGGGCTTTCGAAAGAAACCTCCAACTGATTCCAAACCTGGGCAAGGAAACTCCAAGCCAAGCCGCGGGTTTCCAAAACGGTCCCAAGAACGCCCTACGCGCGCGGTGGCCAACAACCACAAGCATGAGCTGGGGCGTGCGCAATGGTTGGCGTAGCAACAGTTGCGGCGCACGCACGTGGAGTTCCTTTTGGTTCCCAGTGGCTGGCGCACCTGGCGCGGCTGGAGCACGTGGAACTCTGGGCGCACGTGGAGCACGTGCCGCACCCGGCGCGCCTGGCACGCTTGGGCCTTCAAGGTGCCGGGTGTTTTTGAACCCGTGGCTTCTGCTGATTACTTCGCGATATGCTGACACCCGGGTGTAACTCCTGCGTTGGGATGGCGAGTGGGGGTGAGCAAAACGGTTTGCGGGCGGGTGGGTAGCTTGACCCCTCCCCTTCCCCCTCCTCTTGGACCTAGAGCGGGAGTTCGCGGGTCGTTGGGCCGTCCAAGATGGCCTCGGCGAGAAGGGAACATCATTGATTTTACCCCAAGGTTGGATCCATGTTGGCCTCCTGGGGGGGCACTAATTGGACCCCCTTACCGTCTTTGATCGAGAGGCCCCAGGAGGCTCCCCGCAGGCACCCAAAGCGCTTCAAGAGGCCCCTGGGGCCGCCAAGAGGTCGCCAAGATTCCCCACAAGGCTACAATGAGAGACCCCGAGAAGCATCCAAGAAACCTCTGGTCTTCCTGCTCGCCCTCCTCCTCTTCCTCCTCCGCATCCGCCTAATCCTTCTCCTCCCTCATCCCTCCTCCTTCCGCCCCCTCCTCCTCCTCCTCCTCCTCCTCCTCCTCCTCCTGCTCCTCCTCCTACTCCTGCTCCTGCTCCTCCTCCTCCTTCTCCTCCTCCTCCGCCTCCTCCTCTGGTTCTACTTTTATCCGCCCCATCTTGGGGTATGACGGCTTTCCAACCTTTCTTCCACTGCGTTTTTCCACATGCCTGATCAGGGCAACTCGCCTGGGTATTATTTCTGGATTGGCTGGTGGGGCTATACTTTTTTTCCCCCCGAGCGACGCGGAGCAATCGCGCGCCGTCAAACAGCGAAGCGACTACGCCACGTCCTATCAATTAAGCCCAAAACGACCGGAGCGCGCTACGCACTCACTCAGGCGGCGAAAACGACGCAGTAGCCCGGGAAGTTCGCGCCAAGCCGAAGAGGTCCAGGAGGAGGGCCTCGTTGCACACCAAGGTGGTGAACGAATTGGAACGCGACCGAGTCCAGATAGTAGACCAAAATCAGACGTCGTGCATGTGCTCGTCGACCACGAAGAGGCGAAACAGCGGGCGAAAGACGCAACGGGGGTCGCCGCCAGGCTGGCAACCGTCGTGGGCGGCAGAGCGCGGCGCTGCAAGCCGTCTCTCACGTGAGCTGGTGGGGCTATGCGAAGCGTCTAGAATTTATCCCCCCCCTTCCGCTGCTGTCCCTCTCGATCTCCAGACAGCCCCAAGACGACTTCAGAGGGCCGTCTTGAAGCCCTTGGGGGCAGGGAGGATCTTGGGGAAGTCGTGGGGGCCTCTGAAAAAATCTTGGGGGCATTCGGGGGCCCCTTGTGGGGCCTCGGGGAAATATTGGGGGCCTGTTGGGGGGCTTCTTCGGGGCATGCCAGGGGTCTTGGGGGGGCCGTCTTCAGGGGATGGGCTCTCGCAATATCCCTCGTGGGGCACCTTGGGGAACCCCGGGGCTCCGGGGCCGTCTTGAGGGCCTCTTCGGCCGTCCTGGGGTGGTGAGTGAGTCATAACCACTATAATCTAGCATGATCCTCCTCCTCCTCCTCCTCTTCCTCCTCCTCCTCCTTCTCCTCCTCCTCCTGCTCCTCCTCCTCCTCCTCCTCCCTCTCGACCTTTTCGCTTGTCATCCTCCCCGCATCGCCTTCCCCATCCTCACCGGGGCGGCGGCGGAGAAGGACGACGACGACGGCGCCGAATACAACGACCGTGCGCGAGTCGCGCCGCGCGCGCCGTGGCGGTGGGCATCACCAGCGGCTGCACGCTCGGGAAGAGCATGGGCTCGTCGAGGCCGGGGATGGCCCGGGTGGACCTGGCCGCCGGCCGAGGGGGAGGATCGAGGAGGAGGAGAAGAATGAGGAGGAGGAGGAGGAGGCGGGAGGAGGAGGAGGAGGAGGCGGGAGGAGGGAGGGGAGAGGGTGGGAGGAGGAGGAGGATCGAGGAGGAGGAGCAGGAGGAGGAGGAGGAGGAGGAAGAGGAGGAAGATGATCGAAGAGGAGGAGGAGGACACGGAGACGGAGACGGAGGAGGAGGAGGAGGAGGAGGAGGGGAAGGAGGAGGAGGAGGAGGCAGGAGAAGGAAGAGGAGGAGGAGGAGGAGGAGGAGGAGGAGGAGGAGGCGGGAGAAGGAGGAGGCGGGAGGAGGGAGGGGAGAGGGCGGGAGGAGGATCGAGGGTGAGGACCTGGAAGGAGAAGTAGGGAAGGATCAAATTGTTGCACGTTCTCTAGGCTTTTTCACAGATTGTGGGCTGCCGCAAAGGGAGCTCAAAAGGCGGAGGACCAACTCACGGTACTCCGCGCGGTCCCCCAGTGGCCTGTTTTCCTCCTCCCCCCTCTGCCACGGAGGAGACGACGTGTATATATATACATACACACACCGCGGAGACAGCATTGATGATGAGGAGGAGGCGAAGGAGGAGACTGAGGAGAAGGAGGAGGCCGAGGAGGAGGAGGATGAGCAGGAGGAGCAGGAGAACGAGGAGGAGGAGCAGGAGGAGCAGGGGGAAGAGGAGGAAGAGGAGGAGGAGGGAGATAAACAAGAGTGGGGAAGGACGAGGAGGGGGGGACGAGGCGAAGGACGAAGTGTATTAGGATGACAATGGGGACGAGAAACGCAACACCAATGGTGGTGATGACTGCCCGGACGGCGATCAGCCGCTCGCCGAAGCGGCGCCGACCGCTCGAAGGGTCAGGCCAAGCGGGGAGTCCGCCGCAGTCTTGAGGGGCAGCGTTCGGGGGGGGGGCAGCGTAGGGGGAAAAACATCGACTCGGAATCATCGATGCACCGCCGATCGATCGGCGATGGGCACCCGATCGCAAATCTGCACGTTCCTGGGCGGGGTGGGTTATCTGGCACCCATCTGAGACGAATGGGCGATTGGGGGTGGATGCGTCCCCCCCTGAGCCTGTTCCCCTTTAAACGTTGCCCCTTGGTGTTCGGGTCATAGCTCCGCTCTCTGGCGGCCGTGCGGAACCATCCGGGCACCCCCAGACCGCTCTCGGCGAGGCGCAGCTGCTGGAGAGCACCCCAGGGAAGGCACACCTCCCAGAGCCCAAGAAGCCGCCCGACCACCCAAAACACCTCACGTCGCCCCTTCTCGTTGCCTCCGTGGCACCTGCGCCGGCTTTGGCCCCGACGGCGCATCGGCGGGGTGGGCCTCCCGTGTGGCCTGGGCGTGGCGCCACCGCCTGACCACCGTCGAGGCCGAGAGGCCTTGCCCTTCGCGCCACTCCGCCCCTCGAGGGGCTCTGCCTCGTCTCCCGAGGACACGGGGTGGGCCTTCCAGCGCCGGCTTGGGGGCCCCGAGACGGTGCGGTGACGGACAGCGCGGTGACTTCGGACCCCCCAGAGACCGCACCACACGGTCCGTCACCGCACGGCCTTGGGACCCTGGAGGCCCCAATGGCCCGGGACATCCTCGGTGAACGGCCCGAGTCCCAAAGCCTCGCTTTGGGACCCCGAACCCCGCAGACTCACCACACAGTGTGGTCACCGCACCGTTAGGGTGCCCCCCGCCTGAGCCCGTAGGGGAGCGGGGTCCAGTGAGCGCGGGGGGGGGGGGGAGGGCGCCATCGCGCGGCCCAAAGCGGAGGGCGATGGACAGCCACGGTGCCGAGGCGGCCGGTGCGGAGCACCTGGCGATGCTGCAGATGAGGAGGTGAGCGTGAGGATGGGCTTCGCCCCTCCAGGGGGGAGGCGCAGGCTGGTCGTTTGCTTGCGTGGCCTAGGTCGGTGCCGAGTCCGCGGGTGAAGTGCTCCCAAAGCCCAGCACCACCTGGCCAACCCTGACATCCGACGTCGCGAACAAAAATGGAATATCGTGAAAAATCACAACTGGACCGCGGACCCCATCTTTCTGCGTCATGGTTTTTGGGCGGATGCCCGAAACTTGGCGAACACGCCCGTTGCGAAACAACACCTGCAATGCACGACAGGATCTCATGGTGGCGTGTTGTCCTGCCGGGGCAGCCGGGAACACCAGGCTGCCTCGTGCACTGACGGGCTTGCGAGGCCCGAGACGGTCCTGCTCCTGGCGCCCCCCTGCGTGGTGGCGCCCAATGATGCCCCAGCGGCGGTCGGCCGTTCTCGCACGCTGGCGTCTTGCGGGGTGGTAGCCCGTGGTGCCCTGGGCGCCGCGGTGGGCCACCTGCGCTCGGTGCCATATGGTTGGTGCCGGCAAGTGCCTTACAAGAAGCACGTACCCAGATCCCCTTCGGGTCATGTAGCACTGAAAAATAACATTTCGTCGCGGGTGGGTCGCGGGGTGGGTCGCGGGGTGGGTCGCGGGTGGGTCGCGGGGTGGGTCGCGGAATGGGTCGCGGGGTGGGTCGCGGGTTGGGTCGCGGGTTGGTCGCGGGTGGGTCGCGGGGGGGAGCGACGACAACAACAAACAACACACATGCAGAATCCGGGCCACGGAATGCCACTCCACCCGCGCACCCAAGTATGATGTAAGACCGTTCGGCCCCCCCATTCTGACGATACCTAATCTTGCCATAAGAAATACAGGGGCGCATCCTTCGTCGATGCTGAGCTTCGTACGGTGCTCCAAGGCACTGCGGGCCCACCGGGGGACACGAAAGTCCCGTGACGCACGGGTTGGCAAGCCAATCCCACCAGCCGTCTGGGCGTAGGTGGTTTAGGGCGGCTCCTCTTCCAACCCCCTTTCTTCCCCTTCGGGGAAGGGTTTACCCCTTACCCCCTCCCCTGGACCTGAACGGGGCGCTCCGCGAGCGGTCAGGGCGTCCAAAGCGGCCTCGGCGAGGAAGCCAACATCATTGGTTTTACAATGGTTTTGGCCCCATTTTGGCCTCTTGGGGAGGCGGGGCTAATTAAGGTACCCCCATTCTATGATCGATGTCCTTCAAGATGGCCCCAAAAGGCGCCCAGGAGGCCCCAATATGGCCCCAAGATGGCCCCCAAATGGCTCCAATATGGCCCCACGAGGCCCCCGGGAGGCCCCCAGGAGGCCCCCAAGAGGACCCCGAGCGGCCCCATGAGGCCCCCCCGAGGCACCCAAGACGCCAAAGAGTCCCCCAGGACCGCCGAAAGACCCCCAAGACGACCCAAAAGGCCCCCAAGAAACGCCCAAGAGATATCCAAAGAGGCGCCGAGAGGCATCCAATAGACCTCTGGCCCTTTTGCTTGCCCTCCTCCTCCTGCTCCTCCTTCCTCCTCCTATTCATTATCTTATATTATATTATTTTCTCTTCTCTTCTCTTCTCTTCTCTTCCCTTCTCTTCTCTTCTCTTCTCTTCTCTTCTTTTCTCTTCCTCCTCCTCCTCATCCCATTATTCGTCCCACTCCCCACCCCCTCATCCATCCATTCAGCCTCCTCCTTTTCCCCCTCCCTCCTTCGCACGGTTCGGCCGTGCACCTCTTTGATCCCGCACTTCCCTGATCACCTCAACTCGCCTAGACATCGCTTCGGTGGGGATACTTTTTGTTTTGCGGGCTCGCGAAGCAGGTCGAAAGCCGTCCGAACACGAGTCGGGCCGCGACTAGGCAGCAAGAAAAGAGAGGCAAACGAAGCGAGCGCGCGGGGAGCTGGTGGGGATCTTTTTATGTCAGCGGCCGCAAGCGAGCGCGCCAGCGGCGCGTTCAGTCAGAGCGGGGCGCGCAAAGACGAATTAACCTAAAGCGGTGGGCCGGAGCCTCACGCAGCACCTCAGCGGCGGGCCGGCGAGGGGAAAAGGCAGGCGGTAAACTGGATAACAGTAGTGCCATGGTGCACGCATGCAAAACGTCGGAAACAGCAGGCGGCCAGGGGGACAAGAGCTAGTGGGGATACGTTTTTTAGTCAGCGGCCGCAGGCGAGCGCGCCAGCGGCGGGCTGGTGGGGGTGCGCGAAACGTCTACAACTTCTTATTTACCTGCTGTATGGTGGGTGCCGTGTTGTTGGCGCCATATGATTCGTGCTTGTGACGCCGCATGGTTTGTGCCCTATGGTGCTGGCTGGTGCCGTATGGCTTGTGCCCCACTGCTCGCTCGCGGGGAATGCTAGCACAGATCGTTTGGATATCCAGGCGCGGACATCATAGTTGCGAAGAAGGACCGCATCTGAAGCGTATTCCTGGTCTTCACAACCAACGCGTGGATGCTGGCCGCAAGGGCAAGTATGCACCATCGCTCAGCGGCTCCCTCGTCACGCAGTTGTCGTTCCTCCTGCCTCCTGCCCCTTTGGGGGGTCACTTGACTTTTCTGGAGTTCCCCAGAAGGTCTCTAGCAATCGATGCGCCTGCTGCGGGAGCAATGCGAACCTGACATGGACAACGGTCTTGCACATTTGCCTAGCTGATTACACAGTTGTAGATATACGATGGTGCACAAGGAACCCGCTGCAGAACAGCTGCGAGGTCAGCTGTTCAGCTAGTGCCACGCTGGCCGCGACCTCAACATAATGCCAGCGAGACCAACTGTGGTAGCACCGTCCTGCACTGCCACCCAATGCAAACCAAACCCATGCGCATGCCGTGCTTGAGCGGGTCCGCGCATAGATCCGAAAAGTCTGTCGGCAGAAGACAACGAACGACAGCGTCGAAAACGCCCTCCGCTGCGCACTGCTCCCTGCGCGACGTCCTCACAGAGAACCTACAGTTGTCCTGCCCGCTCTCGGCGGGAACGCGCGGTGCGGCCGCTCCCTCGGTCGGCGCCTCGCTCGACAAAGAGTCAATCAGCAGAGAGCTGTAAACCGCGGCTCCGCACGTGCACCTGAGCCGGAGATGTGCGGCAACTGCTGGGAGTGGCTCCACCTCCAACCCGTCTTTCTTCGCGACGCTGCACTGCGCCGATGACTCTACCCCGCCCTCATGGCCATCGCCTGTGGAAAATTGGGGCTCTACTAACGGATGCTGAACAGCTGTGGCGTCGCGCCCTGGTGCGTCGACGCTGCGTTCGATGGGCTCCCGCGCGCGCGGGGGATTTTTTGTTCTTTCCAGCCTAAGGCAGAGTTGAACATGTTTAACGCAGGACCTTCTTCTGGGCCACAATGCGCTTGGCAAGCCTTGAGGATCCTGGCGGCAGGCCTTGCTGCGCTCTCCTCAACTGACGTCTGCCATAATCATTCAAAAAACGATGAGCACTTCTTGCTTAAATTCCTGACCGCTTGGGTGGCTACACAGCCACAGGCATGACAGACCGTGCCCCCGAACTCCTTGTGGTACGCCAAGGTGTGGGAGCTATGCAAGTCAGTGCCGTTGACCGTGTTCTTCGTGGGCACCATGATCAGACCCCTGAACAAGCCCTGGTGGCATGGGGTATCTAAAAATTTTGCAGCCATTCTCCATGGCGAACTGCCTCCGCATGTGCGACATCTCACCTGGGAACCTATCCCCCAAACTGGCTCATGAGCCGTGAGCTTCACTTTGATACGAATCTGGTGCCTTGCAGGATTCAGGGCCACCTCTCTCGGCGCTCTATTACCATCAGCTTCGATGGAAGCAAGCAGGCTGTGACCGAGGTGCTGGCGAACCTGGAGCGCAATCGCTTGCGTATGGGACCTGCTGTCCCTATGCGTCGCTGAAGCTCTGATATCATCGGCCCACTGGTTCGCTATTCGGTCCGCCAAATCATTTAACAGAAAAAAAAACAAAGGGGGGGTTCCCAGGGCACTGACTTCAAAAAAATCCAAATGGCTCTCGACTTTGGCCAGCGCCACCACTCTGGATGGAAACTCAATCAACGCGTCGCGCATTCTGCCGCGCATCGAGGTGTGATCTTGGCGTGAAGCCCAGCCGAATTCTTTCAAAATTCTTGACAACATACGTGGAGTCCGTTACAAAGAAGCCGTCTGCAACAGGGAGGACAGCCTTCAAGAACTCCAGGAAACTCATCGCTTCCCCCCTGTTGACCGGCTGGCGCCAACCAGGAACATTGCCGAAACTGGCCCTGTGGGCATGCATCTCCCTGGGATCATACTCGCCTCCAGATCTGAGGCCCCTGAAAACGACCCATGGCCAGGCGACGCGACGGAGGGCAGGGTCTTGAGAGTCTGGCCCCCCGCTGGCGTCTCCTCCTCCAAAGATGAAGCCGTCGACCACCGCCTCCCCCAGCTCTCCCCCGAAGCTACGGAAATCCGCTTCGTCGGGGGGTGGAGGGGCGGTGGTCCAGCTGCTTGGCGCCAGCCCTCGCAGCCAGAAACTTGGATTTGCCTCCCAGTCCTCTAGCGCTCTGCGGCGCACCGGCTCTGAGACCTTCGAAAACTCCGCATTCTTAGGGCAGCCCCAAGCCCTGTGCACGTCACACTCGACCAACTCACCACACCTCTTACAGGGGCTGTCCTGAGCGAGACCGCATTCTTGGAGCCTTCCTTGCGCGTGGCCAGCTGTTGCCCGTCGCCACCGCTTTCAAAACTCCTCTCCGCTCGTGTTTGCCTTTCTTCGCTAGAAAGCGAAGCTGGCGCTTAAAATCATACACATCAGGGACCTGCTCTAGACCTGACCCGTTCCACGAGTTAGCAGCAGCAGCGGTCCAAAGCTGCCTCTCTTTACTCTGAGCCAGAGCTTCAAACAGGTCCGCGAGGTCTACCTTGCCTCGCCCGAGCTTGGTTTCTGAAATCGCGAACCGATCACCCAGGTCGCTCTCCCAGGCCCAAGGGCCCCAGGGTTTCCAACCCACATCCAGCAGAGTGGCGATCGTGGCGGCAGTCGGAGTGCCGATCCCGCGCCAACGATTCCTGGCTGGCTTGGGTTCGAGCTCGGCCGCAACTTTCTTCCAGACACGTCTCGTCTTATCAGCGTCACAGCTCGCATGGGTTAAAATCTGAAACCAAGCTTCTATAGTGTCGAGCATCGCAAAAAAAAAAACAGAGTCTCGCCTGCCGTGCTCCAGCGCAAGAAGTGTGGTCAGACACCTTCCCCCTTTCGAGGCGCCCCCCGTCAACCCACCCAACGCTCTACGCCAACCAAGGACAACACTGGGTGGGGTGCCGTGGACCTTGTCAGAATACATAGATTTTGAAAAAGCCGAGGTCATAGCCACTCTGCGAGCCCACTTTTTACAAAGTTTGCTACCCTTCGCCAGCATGCCGAGCCTGGTGAGCCGCCTCGCAGCCCCCTCTCTCCTACTGGCTTGCTTGGGCCTAGACGACTTGACCTGGCCTCTGTCAATGCCTAAGTCTGCAACTACCTTCCTAGCCTGCACTCGGATGCCTTGCTCGCAAAAGAAATCCTGGAGTCTCACGGCCAAACCCCAGGAGGACGAGATGATGGCCGATATCGGAGCAATCTGCAACTTGATCTCACGCAGGCCCTGGACCAATTCCAGGCCCAGCTTCGACAACTCGTTAAAAACTCTATCGGTGTCGCCGTACATGCACTGTACTATGTCATCAACCCACGTGTGTAGTGACGGCAGTGGGCGGCCCGTGGCAATTTTCCTGCAGACAAAATGAAGGGCCGCTCTACCTTAGTCTACTGCCCCACTGCTGCCTGGTATGAGTGACGTGCCTGGCTGCACTGCCTGCGAAAAACCTCCAGCCTCGCGAAGAAACCTGGCTGCCATGTGGACCTGGAGCTCCAGGGCCAAATAGCAGGGTGGGAAATCCAAATCCAACGCTTTGTCCAGGACCAGGTCCCAGCGAAGACTGTCATAAAAACCTGTAACGTCCCAGAGCAAGCTTGCGCTCTGGTGATCTGGAAGAACTGAGTGAGCAGCTTGCTCATCTTTAAACAGCCTGAGAAGTGCTACCTGCAGCGCTGAGCAACCTGCTAGAGCTGTGTCCCATGGCCCCGCTCGCTCCTTGGTCCAACCCGCTCGGTCCGAGGTCCGAAGTCGACCCCAAAATCGGACCACCCAGGCCAACAGGCCTATCGCACGATCAGCATCAACGTCTTCGACCTGGAGCGTAACGAGGACCACAAGGGCCTGCCAAGGCCAACAAACCCTCTGCTCGACTAGGGCGTAGAAATCCGCCAGTTGTTGCAGTCCAAGCTGCGGCAGCCATTGGAAGTCCTTCTTGGACAAGCTATCCACACCTGGTGCTTTTTCGGGCAGGGCCGAGATGACCCTCCTGAGCCAGTCGGCCCCGAGCGGGGTCCTCGGGTTCGACTTGGCCCTAGACTGGGCCTTGCTCCAGAGAGAACGGACCCTCGGAAAAGAAACGCTGTCACCCGCCCACTTAGCTGCCCAGAGATCCGCCTTAACAGCCATTCTCTGGCAGGAATCTTCAGCCGTTTCCCCCCCAGTCCGAACCTCCCCCACGTACACCGTCTTGTCCCGAATGCGGCTGTATAAGCCTCGGCCTCCAGCCTGATCCTGTTGCATCACCCATTGGTGGAAGCATGAGAGCGTGTTATTCAAAACTACTCGCTGGGCTCTCACTGAATGTTGCCTGGCTCTAGCTTCGAAATCTCTGATCGTCTGGTCTGAAGCTTCACTTCACACGCACGGGGGATGAACGGGGCCGCATCAGGATCCAGCACCGGCTGCACTGGTAGGCGAAGTCCCTTCTGCATCTGCTTGAGCTCCGCCACCGTGGCCGTCGAAATCTGAACTCCAGGCTGCACCGCATCATGTAGCACCACGTTCCTCCAGAGGATCGCAGCATGATCTGGGGCACGCCCGTGGAGCAGAACGGCAAGGGCGGGGTGCAAGACTCAATCTACGATCTCCCAGAGGCGACTCCACAGACAGCCAGGAGACAGAGTCCAGGAGGCGTTCATACTTGACCTCTTGCACCTGCAGCTGATAGGTCAGGCGCGAGATCGCCCGATCGGCCGACCAGCGGGCCCATTCTCGGCGCTCGCGACGCTCGGCTGCCGTGCGACGTGAAGCCGCACCCATTGGGCATCATTTTCCCATGCCCTCCCGTGCCATCTCAGGCGCACAGTGGGGCACCTCCACAAGCCTGGGCCAAGCGCGAAGCCAGCTCGAGCCAACGAAAAGTCACCGCTGCGGGCGGCTGAATCAAGAAGGCTACGGACCCTATTGCTCCCCCCGTCCATCCCTGCCTCCCCATATCCTCCCCTCGCCCTCTCTCCCTCCCTTCCTTGCACCTCCTTCTCACTCCTTTCCTGCACCCCTTCGCCTTCTCTCCCTCCCTTCCTGCCACCCCCTCCTCCCTCCTCTCTCCTCGCGCAGGCGGCGAGAGTGCGGCGGGAGGCACCCCGACATCACCGGCTGGGGCCTTGCCGGGGCCGCCCGCGGGGTTTCGGAGCCGGCGACCCAGGGGGAGGGAAGAGGGAAGGACGCTATCAGCATTGTGTGTGTGAAAATGATTTTAACACATCTTCCGCCCTATGAGCAGCTATTAGAGTATCAATGTGCCTGTGAGCGCCGATCTACGTCCATTGGCGTCTATGATCAGAGTGAGGGGTCGAACGGTCATTCACTGTCCCTGGGCGCGTGGCTGAAGTGTGGTTCTGCGGTGCGGATTGTTGTAGTTGGTGTTGTTGTTGTTGTTGCTGATGTTGTGCTGTTCTTGTTGTTGTTGTTGTTGCTGTTGCTGTTGCTGTTGCTGTTGCTGTTGCTGCTGCTGTTGTTGTTGTTGTTGTTAATGTTTGTTCTCGTAATTCCCCCGCGCGACCAGGCCCGCGACCCACCCGCGAACCAACCACGACCCACCCGCGACCCACTCCGCGACCCACCCGCGACCCACCCGCGATTCACACCGCGACCCGGCCCACGACCCACCCGCGACCCACCCACGACCCACGCCGCGACCAACCCACATTGCTTTAACGAAACAATCGGCGCCTGCGACGGGATCGCTGCATAATCCCACCAGCCCTTTGGGCGTGAGTGGTTTAGAGAGCTCTCTCTGTCCTCAACACCCCAGCCCCCTTCTTCCCCTTCGGGGAGGGGTTTACCCCTCCCCCTACCCCCTCCCCCTGGGTCTGGAGAGGGCGTCCCGATGGTCGTTGGAGGGGTCTTTTCCGACTCCTGGGAGGGCCAAAAAACGACGACCCTCACAAGGATTCTGGCCCCGTCGGGGGGACACAGAAGAAATGCTCTCCTCTTCTCTGAAGCCAAAATCCTTGATTTTACTACGGTTTTGGCCCCATTTTGGCCGTCTGAGGGGCCAGCGCTGCTGCTCCTTGTTCTCACAATTATTGATTTTACGAAGGTTTTGGGCTCATTTTGTCCTCCTGAGGGGGTCGCGCTCATTTGCGCTTCTCAGGGGGTCGCAAGAAGCCCCCAAGAGGCCCCAAGATGCCCCCAGGAGGCTCCCAAGAGGCCTCCCAGAGGCTCCCCAGCCGCCCCCAAGAGGCCTCCAGAGGCTCCCAAGAGGCACCCCAGAGGCGTCCACGAGGCCCCCAGAGCCCCCAAGAGGCTCCCAAGAGGCCCCCAAGAGGCGCCCAAGAGGCCCCAAGAGGCCCCCAAGAGGCTCCCAAGAGGCCCCACCAGGAGCCCGAACGACTCACACCAGGACGAGGGGCCCGAACGACTCACACCACGAAGAGCCCGAACGACTCACACCACAACGAGGGGCCCGAACGACTCATACCAGGACGACGCGCCCGACCGACTCACACCACGAGGAGCCCGAACGACTCACACCACGACGCGGGCCTCGAACGACTCACACCACCTGGAGCCCGATCGAGTCACATCAGGAGGAGGGGTAGCGCTCATACAAGCCCCCCAAGAGGGCCCCCAGAGGTCCACCACATGGCACCGAGAGGCCCCCAGATGGCCCACAGTTTCAAAAGTATTGGTTCTACGAAGGTTTTGGGCTCATTTTGTCCTTCTCAAGGGGTAGTGCTCATTTGCGCTTCTGAGGAGGCCGCAAGAAGCCACCAAGAGGCCCCACGATGCCCCCAGGAGGCTCCCAAGAGGCCTCCAAGAGGCTCCCAAGAGGCCCCCAAGAGGCCTCCAGAGGCTCCCAAGAGGCACCCCAGAGGCTCCCACGATGCCCCCAGAGCCCCCAAGCGGCTCCCAAGAGGCCCCCAAAAGTCTCCCAAGAGGCGCCCAAGAGGCCCCAAGAGGCACCCAAGAGGCTCCCAAGAGGCCCCACGAGGAGCCCGAACGACTCACCCCAGGACGAGGGGCCCGAACGACTCACACCACGAAGAGCCCGAACGACTCACACCACAACGAGGGGCCCGCACGATTCATACCAGGACGAGGCGCCCGACCGACTCACACCACGAGGAGCCCGAAGGACTCACACCACGGCGCGGGCCTCGAACGACGTGCACCACGTGGAGCCCGAACGAGTCACACCAGGACGAGGGGCAGCGCTTATACAAGCCCCCCAAGAGGGCCCCCTGAGGTCCACCAGATGGCCCCAAGAGGCCCCCAGATGGCCCACAGTCTCAAACATAGTGATTGTACGAAGGTTTTGGGCTCATTTTGACATTCTCAGGGGGCAGCGCTCACTTGCGCTTCTGAGGAGGTCGCAAGAAGCCCCCAAGAGGCCCCAAGATGCCCCCAGGAAGCTCCCAAGAGGCATCCAAGAGGCCCCCAAGAGGCCCCCAAGAGGCCCCCAGAAGCCCCCAAGAGGCCCCCCAGAGGCTCCCACGAGGCCCCCAGAGCCCCCAAGAGGCTCCCAAGAGGCCCCCAAGAGTCTCCCAAGAGGCGCCCAAGAGGCCCCAAGAGGCCCCCAAGAGGCCCCATGAGGAGCCCCAGCGACTCACACCAGGACGAGGGGCCCGAACGACTCACACAACGAAGAGCCCGAACGACTCACACCACAACGAGGGGCCCGAACGACTCATACCAGGACGAGGCGCCCGACCGACTCACACCACGAGGACCCCGAACGACTCACACCACGACGCGGGCCTCGAACGACTCACACCACCTGGAGCCCGATCGAGTCACATCAGGAGGAGGGGTAGCGCTCATACAAGCCCCCCAAGAGGGCCCCCAGAGGTCCACCACATGGCACCGAGAGGCCCCCAGATGGCCCACAGTTTCAAAAGTATTGGTTCTACGAAGGTTTTGGGCTCATTTTGTCCTTCTCAGGGGGTAGCGCTCATTTGCGCTTCTGAGGAGGTCGCAAGAAGCCACAAAGAGGCCCCACGATGCCACCAGGAGGCTCCCAAGAGGCCTCCAAGAGGCTCCCAAGCCGCCCCCAAGAGGCATCCAGAGGCCCCCAAGAGGCCCCCCAGAGGCTCCCACGAGGCCCCCAGAGCCCCCCAGAGGCTTCCAAGAGGCCCCCAAGAGTCCCCCAAGAGGCGCCCAAGAGGCCCCAAGAGGCCCCCAAGAGGCTCCCAAGAGTCCCCACGAGGAGCCCGAACGGGTCACACCAGGACGAGGGGCCCGAACGACTCACACCACGAACAGCCCGAACAACTCACACCACAACGAGGGGCCCGAACGACTCATACCAGGACGAGGCGCCCGACCGACTCACACCACGAGGAGCCCGAAGGACTCGCACCACGACGCGGGCCTCGAACGACGTACACCACGTGGAGCCCGAACGGGTCACACCAGGACGAGGGGCCCGAACGACTCACACCACGAAGAGCCCGAACGACTCACACCACAACGAGGGGCCCGACCGACTCATACCAGGACGAGGCGCCAGACCGACTCACACCACGAGGACCCCGAACGACTCACACCACGACGCGGGCCTCCAACGACTCACGCCACGTGGAGCCCGAACGAGTCACACCAGGAGGAGAGGCAGCGCTCATACAAGCCTCCCACGAGGGCCCCCCAGAGGTCCACGAGATGGCCACACGAGGCCCCCAGATGGCCCACAGGAGGTCCCCAGGAGGCGCCACGAGGCCTCCATGAGGCCCCGAAGATACCCCCAAGAAGTCCCCAAGAGGCGCCGAATACGCCCCAAGAGGCCCCCGAGCGGCTTCCAGAAGACATCTGCCCGTTCGACTACATCATCACGTACTACTATCAGATCTACTCGAACTACTATGAGTCCTACTACCATTAGAACTACTACCTCTATTACTACTACTACTACTACTACTACTACTACTACTACTACTACTACTACTACTACTACTACTACTACTGCTACTACTGCTACTACTGCTACTACTACTACTGACTACTACTACTACTGACTACTACTACTACTACTACGACTACTACTACTACTACTACTACGACTACTACTACTACTACTACTACTACTACTACTACTACTACTACTACTACTACTACTACTACTACTACCACTACTACTACTACGACTACTACTACTACTACTATTACTACTACTACTACTACTACTACTACTACTACTACTACTACTACTACTACTACTACTACTACGACCACTATCACTACTTATGACTACTACCACAACTTCCATACAGACCAAAGCTCTAGTGACTGCCTCTGTTACTGGGGCACCTAGTGCGACGACGGCGTTGACGACTACGTGTGCTACTACCGCTGATATTGGAAATACCACTACGACGCAAACCCTCGCATTATCTCTGGCGTGCCTGCATGTCCTCGAGCGATAGCCGCCACAACGCTGCTACAACGAGGGCGGGGCCAATGGGGCAAGGAGTGAAACATGCATCATAACAACAAGTGGCCAATCCCACCAGCCCTTTAGGGCGTGAGTGGTTTAGAGAGCCCCCTCTGTCCTCAACCACCCTTCTTCCCCTTCGGGGAGGGGTTTACCCCTCCCCCTGCCCCCTCCCCCTGGGCCTGGAGAGGGCGGGCCGCGGGTCGTCAGGGGGGTCCATTTCGACTCCTGGGGGTGCTAAAAAACGACGACCCTCACGAGGATTCTGGCCCCGACGGGGGGGCCGAGAAAAAATGCTCTCCTCTTCTGTGAAGCCAGAGCCATTGCTTTTACGAAGGTTTTGGCACCATTTTGGCCTCCCGAGGGGGCCGCGCCCACCTTCCTTCATAGCAAAACCATTGTTTTTACGAAGGTTTTGGGCTCATTTTGTCCTTCTCAAGGGGCAGCGCTTCTTTGCGCTTCTGAGGAGGTCGGAAGAGGCACCAAGATGGCCCCAAGAGGCCCCCAGGAGCCTCCCAAGAGGCTTCCAAGAGGCCACCACGAGGCCCCCAAGAGGCACCCAAAAGGCCCCCAAGAGGCCCCCAAGAGGCCCCCAAGAGGCCCCCAGAGGCCCCAGGAGGCCCCCAAGAGGCCCCCCAAGAGGCCCCCAAGAGGCCCCCAAGAGGCCCCCAGAGGCTCCAAGAGGCCCCCAAGAGGCCCCACGAGGAGCCCGAACGACTCACACCAGGACG